TTATTTTACAGTTAAAATAAATGTTTATCAAATAAAGTCTAATGTTACAAATAATTGTGGATCCCTTTAAAAAAACATTTCAATCCCTATGACTTCCTTTTTTGTCACTTTTAAGTGTTTCCAATTTAAAATAGTTTTAACTCAACCTATCAAAACAGCTCTAAAAACTCTAAGAAAATTAAAACAACTACATGCATTTAATCTAAAAGTACAAAAGGAAACATCCAGACTAATATAAAATAAATTCAGACACACTTTAACAGTGATTTGGCTCTGACTGGTGTTTGACAGTCAGRGAAACTCAGGACAGATGGAAGGACATACGAGTGAAACTCTTTATCATATTTTTTGCAACATTTATGGTATTTGAYGTCACAAAGAAGTCAAGATATTAAGGAAAGATGTGTAATCTTAGTATCTCTAACTGTATATCWTTTTTACTTGATTTTTCAGGATTCCAGCTGTTCTTTGCTCTAATAACTGGCAGTCAGCACTAAATAGTGAAGTTAATCAGCCTTCAGCAAGCTGTCATGTAGCAGACAGTGAGCCTCCGACACCCAGAGTTCACCAACTTCCAGACGTCAACCAGGACTCGTCAGCTTCCTCTTTATCCACGCTTCCAGCTGCCAACACAAACAAAAACAACAACAACTTCTCCACCCAGGCAAACAGGGACCAGTTAGCCGTCAAAAGGCGGTTATTTGCCAGTCAAACATTGGTCTTTAAATCGGACCAAACAGAGGAGCAGGAAGAAGAAAGTAGGACCGGCAGCACTTGTGGCTCAACAAACAGACTGTTTACTGTTCCTCCAGCTTCTGCTGAAGCCGTCAGTGTCTCAGTAAACGATGATGCTGGAGGAGGAGCAAACACAGCAGCTCGCCTACCTTCACAGGCAAACGCAGCCTCCAGCGAGAGTCAGGCTGCAAGCCCAGAAGCTGCTGAGGCTCGAGGTGAGGCTGCTGGTTCTCTGAAAAACTGACAAGAAGTCCTCATCAGTCATGAAGGGATGTGTTGAAACATAAAGGAGTGTAATTAGGGATGTGAAGCAGGATTAAGTGGCTTATCGAGGTAACTTCAGGTTCAGCTCAGGATTGTCGGTGTCACTCAGCTTGTTGACCTTTTACCTGAGTTTGTTCCTGCAGGAACCTGCTGTAAACCTGACCTGCTGTTAGGTTATGTTTCTGATTTACAGATTACACACCTCAATCAGTGCCCCTAAAAGATCAACTAAATTAATAAGCCACCAGTGTGTTACTTATTTCTTCATCCCTCTCAAAGTTCCACCTCTACATTTGACTATGAGAATCAAGATTTTTCATAAAAGAGAAAAAAACTCACTTCAAGGTATATTCCTTATAACCAGTTTTAGAAAAGGAGCTAACATCTAAAAGATCAAGACTTAATTCAATTAGAAACTGGACCAAAAGATGGAAGTTGAAGCCACAGAGAATGAGCCCCCTCTAGTGGCTGGCTGTAGCAAAGACATTTAAGCTCCACCCCCTTCATGTAAATTAATTGAATTTTTGAATTTTCTTCCTAAAAATAAAACTTTGATAAATTTTTAGACTTTTTTTTGTCTTGCCCAAACTTTTAGTTTTAATGAACTGTTTGACGCATAAAGAAAAGTGTCATGTTACACTGTGATTGACAGCTCGTTAGCGAGTTGGCAGTGTGTGTAGGCGGGACTTCGTATTAATGGACCAGCATGCTTGYAGTTCACAGACTCTGACTCCAAAAATGCAACATGGCAGCCCCAAAAACACTAGGAGTCGAAACGCTTAATGATCTGAGTGAATTATATTAACTAAACTTCACTCTTTATTTCTTAGTGAAAAATATATTTAAAAAAGAATTTCCATAAGGTAAAATATTCATGACTTAATTAAAATCAGCACCTGAAAAACATTAAATAATAATACTGTTCTGATGCACCTGTGGGGGTGTTGGTCAGGGTATTAATTTAGTGTATTTATCAGCTATTGTTCAGCCTGTAAAATACCGTACAGTACAGTCTTTGTAAAGTAACATTCATTTTGACTAAAATACATTAATCGTTCTCTTAGGCAGTAGTTCTCAAACCGGGGGACCCCACTGACGTCAAAATTGGTTTTTGTGTTTGTTTCTTTATTCAGATTTTTTATTGTATATTTTTAAATTGAACAATTGAACAACTAATTATTCAAGGACACTAGAAAAGCAGGATTATAATATTACACTTCATTGTTATTATTTTGTTGAGGGGGCACATAATGAGTCTGACAGAAAAAGCTTGAGAACCACTGCTCTTAGGTAAGGTATTAAGAAGTAATTTTCAAAGTACAAGTATTGTAGTCTCTGTTCATCTCGTCAGAGCCATAACTTCTGAGCTGCTCCACATAATTCAATAATTCATCAAACTTCCTACATTCATCCGGCACAAAGATCAAGTTTACAAAGTAAGATCAAATGTAAAACAAAGTCTCCGCTCTTCCAGGACACAACTTCTAAGATAATTTATCAAAGCTTGATACAGCTATGCATCTCAGATGTTCTGGGGAAATGGATGGTATTATGGTGAAGTTGTGGGAATTTCTAAGAACAATGATGTCACGATGCACTAAGACCAAATGAATCATTGTAATCACTCATGTTGTGGCTTTGGTCATATGGAAATTCAGGGCTGATCTGCAGTGGTCCCACCTGAATATCGGACACCACACTGGGGGGTCTTGTGATGGTCATGTGCTGTGGTGGGCATGGTTCTGCTAATCAGTTAATGGCTAATGGCAGAACTAACTTCGTTTAACAGATTAGCTTTTTTACTAACTTGGAAAACAGTTAAAGGCACAGTGTGTAGGATTTGTTGTTTTCAGCTACATCTAGTGGTTGAGTGGTTGAATCATCCTCCCTGGTCCTCCCCCCACCCCCCGCTTCCAAATGCAAAGGAGTTGCTACGGTGTCTCTCAGGTGTCAAAAACCTTTGATAAAGCGAGTAAAATAAGTATCGAACACGTCACCATTTTTCTCAGTAAATATATTACTAGAGGTGCTAATG